TTCTGCTTGCCCCAGCTCGATCCACCACCAGTATCATTCTGCTTACCCCAGCTTGAACCTCCTCCACCACTGTCTTGCTTGCCCCAGCTAGATCCACCACCTGGTTTACTCCATGGAGCGGAATCCTACAACCATTGGAAAATTACAAATTTGAGACTTCCTATATATCAACAAAAACAAAATGGAAAGGTTTCTTCTCAAACTAACCTCAGAGTTACCGAAGGATCTTCCCCTCCCAAACTGATCCCTGCCACCTCGACGACCCCCTCCTCTTCTCCCACCAAACCCTCGTCCTCCCCTATCAAATGTTTGTTCTGAGTTCCCTCCATCATCCTTCTTACCCCATGACGATCCTCCATCGTCCTTTTTGGCCCAAGAAGATCCTCCATCATCCTTTTTACCCCATGTTGATCCTCCATCATCCTTATTACCGTCATCCTTTTTACCCCACGACGATCCTCCATCATTCTTTTTACCCCACGTTGATCCTCCATCCTTCTTACCCCATGTTGATCCTTCATCATCCTTCTTACCCCATGTTGATCCTCCATCATCCTTTTTACCCCACAAAGGTCCTCCGTCATCCTTGTTACCATCATCCTTTTTACCCCACGAAGGTCCTCCGTCATCTTTTTTGCTCCATGAAGATCCACCGCCAGGTTCGACAACCGAAGACCCTCCCTTATCCTGTTTACCCCATGAAGACCCACCATCTGGACCCCCGCCAAGAATTCCCTTACTATTGGCATGGGAATCTTCTGCAGACTTGTTCCAACCAGAAGAGCCATCTTTTTTCTCCCCTGAACCAAAACCTCCAACTTGATTAGCCCAAGCAGATCCATCCTTGCTCCCGTCAGAGCCTTTATATTGTTGTCCCCAGGAAGCTCCCTCTTTGTTACTTGCGCTAGAATTGTTTCCCCAACTCGATTCTTCATCACCTTTTCCCAAACCAGATTCAGATCCCCCTTTCTTACCCCAAGAAGATTCTTCTTTCTTCTGACTCAATTCAGAATCTTGAACTAGTTTACCCCATCTTGAGTCCTCGTCTTGTTTATTACCATCAGAGCTTCCTCCATGCTTACCCCAAGAACCTGAATCTTCAACATTGGATGTAGAAGCTCCTTGTTTTCCCCAAGAAGAAGCTTCAACTTTTGAAGCACCTGCATTTCCCCACCCACCAATAGTGGTAGCTTCAGAAGTAGGTGTTTTACCCCAGGAATTCCAATCACCAGCAGAGGCAGGTTTGTTCTCAGCTGCTGCATTGGCCCACGTAGAAGTGTTATCATCTGGAACTGCCTGCTGAGAATGCAAAGTCAGAAATCTTGTGACATTAGCAATCTGATATAAAAAGAGGTGTAAATATAAAAGTAACAACATGAAAATATTTCAGTTCAGGACTTACCGAAGCATCAGATGTAGGCTTACTGCCCCAAGAGTTCCTGTAAGAAGGGCATGAGATTAAAATTTTGGAACAACGATTCAGGCAACAACTCATCACAGCAAGTTATTCATATTAGTATTAACACACTTCTCAAGGCACAATCAAAGCATGATACATTCAATATTGAGACCCTCCTGCCTTGAATCTACAATGCTAAAGAATGAATTCCAGCAAAAATCAAAACCAACCACTGAAGGAAGCAAGACAAAGATCACCTGAAGAAACCTAATCAAACCTATATTTTGTTTAAAATCCAGGAATTGAATCTGAATGAACTAGATCCATATACATCCAATTGAAACCACGGATATTATATATAATTATAGCTGCAGAATTAGGGAAAAAAAAAGACTTACAAATCAGTAGAGGCGCCTCCTATATTCCAGTTACCACCCTCTCCTGACGTGCCTGCTCCTTTTGCCCAATCTACCGTATGAGAAAGATGAAAAATTACAAGGAAATAAAATGTCTAATCACATAAAATAAGGACGGGGATGGAATAAAATATCTTGCAAATTTTCAAATGCTTCAGGGCATTTAAGCTCAAAGCCAGATGCTATAAAAAAATTTGCAGGCAAATTCAAAATAACTTTGAACATGTACAAGAAACACCAACCTCCAGAGCTGCCTTCTGTTCCAAGCATGTCAAAAGGTTGAAAACCAGTCCCCACATCCCCACTTTTATAGCAAACAGACAGCGTGTAAGAGTTTGCATTTAACAGAAAGGGCAACGAATGATACAGATGCATGGAAGAAGAAAAGAGTCCGAGCAGAGTAATTAAGGAACTTACCTTGTACTTAGCACGGTATTTCTGTCGCGAACCTCGGCAAGATGCTCACTTTTAACTGAAGTGCATCACTGAATTTATTCAGAGGCACAGCAAACAGTATTGAATTCAAGGAGTAAACGCATAAAAACAAACCTGTGAAAACTTTATGCTGGGAGTCAAGCTTGACTGTAACATCAGAATAGCGTAAAGCTATAACACGGCAGAGATACCCCTTCAATGGACCCACACGTATCCTCAGCTTTTGGCCTATTGAATACATGCTACCTTTTTCTCCTTGGTTTGCTGCATTTAATTATCATTTGTGAGAAGGCTAAGGTGATTAGTAAAAGCTAGAATATAATAACTCTCCATACATACAGTTAATGTATTTTTCCCTGGGCTGCCACTCCTTTTCAGGAGATAACGGCGATTTTGGGGAGGATACAGAATCTCCAAAAGCTGAAGCATCAAATCCACCAGTCTGAGAAAACCAGAATGTCATCAGAACAAGAAGAACAGGCCATGTAATCAAAAGATACCTGTAGGGACTAGGCTAACTTACCTTGTCACTGGGTTCGTCAGAGAAGAGTTTAATTTTTTCACACAATTGTGATTTGCAGCAGAAATATCCACCATTTTCTTCCACGCTTTCATCATAAAGAAAAATGATCCCTCTGTATATTTGCCTTACAACTCCTTGTTTACCCTGAATTTGTAATTTATGTATGAAAAGTAAGAAACTTTTACATAACTTTGTTCACCTAATTATGTGAAAGAAAAGTGCAACAGAAACAAACAACGATAAGAAATTAAAAATCACACCTCAGATGGACCTTTGGAAATCTTCACAACATCATTAATTGATATCTGTTTGTTATTCAGATCTAAGGCAGTAAATTTTGAATCAAATGGTCCATTCTGCATTTCCTTCTTTCCAACAATGACTACAACAGGTCCATCAGAACCTTCTTTCAGAACCTGGAACATTTTGCAACTCATCAGAGACAAGGCACATGCCACAGGGTAATATGAGATGGTGAATAAATACATACCTTGTAACCGTCACCTTTTTCATCCACACCCACAATCAGACCAAAGTCTTTTCGACTAGAAAGGGAAAGAGATGAAGTTTTTAGCATACGAAATTACAATAAAACTCACAAATAAGTACAGTGATGAGCAATTTCATACCTGAAACAAACAAGATTATATAACTCATAGCTACTTTCTGACTTAGAACCTGATGAA